AGGAACAAAATTGTTCTCCCATTCAAGTGGTTTAAAAACTGACCCAAATGAAATTGTTTTTCTGTTCGGTGGTGGGTGAACAATTCAATCTTTCTTTAGTCAAAGGTGTTAACAATTGATGCTATAATTAAATAAATAAAAACTCAAGATAAAAATACAAAAAAATTAAAAACACAGAAATTTTATAGAAAACATTTGGGCATATCTCTAACATTTTATATTAATTATAATAAACAAAATATGTGTGATGAATAAGAATTATTTTTATTGATGGTGGAAATTAAATAGAACTTTTAAAACCAACCTAAAAATGAAATTGTTTTTATGCTTGATGGTAGGTCAGTAATTTAACTTTTTGGATTAAATGTGTCAACCCTTGATGTCATAATTAAATAATAAAAATTTAAAAAGATAAGAATACAAAAAAATAAATAAAAATACAGACTTTTTGTAGAAAATATTTGGACACATCTTTAATATTATATCCATCATATTAAACAAAAATAAGTGTGATAAATAAGAATTATTTCCATATACACAGAAAAAAAAATTGTAGAAAAACTAGGACACATATTATTAGTATTATTGTTATTATCATTTCCATCATGATCATCATCATCTAAAATAGCCATGTCACACGTGTAGAACACATGCATATTTGTTTGTACTATTATGTGACTAAATTATTACTTAACAATCACTTAGGCCATGTTTGGGAGTGATTTTTGGCCTAAATGGGCTTATAAAAAAGCCAATTTTTGAAATAGGCTTTTTTGGAAAAACACATTTTTTAGCATTTGACTGGTCACCAACTTTTTTTGTTTGACATAGCTTCTTGTAAATGTAAAAAGGCAAAGTGATTTTTTTTTTTCTATTCCAAAATGAGCTTTTTGATGATGGAGAAACTGTTCGAGCAAATTTTCACAAAGACAAGTATTGAAGGACTTCAAAACGGTTTGCTTGACTTGAAGAATTTCAATTACATCTGGTTAGAGTTAGAGTTTGGGCCCATTGAAGAATTGAGAAATTCCTAACCCAACCTAATCCAAATTGCACCCCTGAAGTACAGCCTTGACATCCACCATATTCAAAGAGAAGAAATTGGAATACAATAATAATAATAAAATGGTAACGTAACCTTGAAAAATTGAGGAAAAAGATTTAGGGTAACAACTATCATGAGGATGTCAAGTTCAATTTCTAAGTATTGGAGAAGGAAGGAAAAGATTTAGGGTTACAGAAGCCATGAGGATGTCAGGTGCAATTTCTGTGCATTGGGGAAGGAAGGAAAAGATTTAGAGTTACAACAACCATGAGGATGTCATTAGGTGCAAAGGCCAGGGGCTAAACTGGGGCAATGTTGCTTTGACTAGACTACTAGCTATCATGAAAGTAGTGGAAGAAGCAACATTAGCTACATTAGGTCTTGAAGCTTTTTAAGTTTTTCAACCAAATCCCAACAAAACTCCTTTGTGTATTCAAGTCTCTTACAATGAGGACACTAAAACTTGTCTCTATCACCTCTGCCTTTTCTCTTACCTTACTCTTCTGGTTGTCCCCCTTGAACAATAAGGCCACTTTCTCCCCCTCAAGAGGATTCATAGCAGACCTCATAGTTTCCTCATATTGTATCAAAGCAAACACGGTTCAAGTCTTAAAATCTCCTTACCACCTAAAATCTGAACTATAATAGGCTTATAAATAGGATTTAGGCCTTCTAAGAAGGCAAACATCCTTTCTTAATAGAGCAACTTTCTGTACACGAAAGCATCCTCTTTATTCTTCCAATCTATAGACTTATAGTGATCTAGTTCTTTCAACATAGAAGTTAGGGTAGAATAATAAGCTACAAGAGACTTCTCTTCCTGTTTCAATGTAGTTGGATCGACTTGAAGTTGGTAGATTCGAGCAAAATGCCTTTTGTTTAGAGAATATAGACTTTGATTGGTCAAATTTTTCCTTGGATGTTTCAACCCACAAAATTCTTTCTAAGTGCAGACTGAATGGAAGATGTAAGCCAAGACATAATGAGGTAGTTCTTTTGCTCCCACTTCTCATATTTAGCCCCTTCATTTGTAGGCTTCTGAACTTTTCCGGTAAGGTACCCCAACTTTCTTCTAGCTCCAACAAACATCTTCATACTTTTAAACCATTCAAAATAATTCAAACCGTTAAGAAGTACAATAGATATTGGAAAGACAACACTACCCATCCCATTACCAGAACTAACTAGTCCTCTAGAAGGGTTTGAAGTAATAGAACTCTTTGAGGATATACTTAAAACACAATATTTTAAGGTCCAAACTCAAAACATATGGATTTTTGTTCACACACAGTCACATGGCTACAACGACCCAAGGTAACAACATTAAAACTTATCTAAGAAGGATAAACTGAACTCCAGAAAACACTTACCTAAAGACTACAATCACTTTAAACATGCACACTCGATTACTGTGAACCACTACTGCAGATACACCTGTTAATATCCAAGCAACCCTTCATCTCCCACTTGGTAGACCAAAAAACATAAAACTGGTCACCAAAAACAAACTTCCCTTAAACCAAACATACCTTACAGCTAAATAGTATTACCGGTCTTGGACATAACAACCTTCAATCAACCTTCAAACGCATACCAAACCAGAAACACAACAACACACTTTTGTAGTCCTCTTGCATGCTTCAGTCACTTGAGGACCACCCTAGAAAAAAAAAAAAAATCAGCTTGGTCCCACAACCAAGAAAAGGAGAAGAGAAAACTTGATGGGATGATCAAATCATAGGGCATAAATGAACTACTGTATTGGAGAAGAAGGAAGAGAAGAGAGGAAAGGGAGAGAGAAGAAGAGAACAACGGAAATGAGGGAAAATGAATGGGATGGTCATGAGTCATGACTCTCACTCACCCTAATATATTAATAAGAAATATAAGTATAGAGTGGTCCTTTGAAGAAATAAAAATCACAAGAAATCCCCCTACGCGGCAACGCCTAAAACACTCATAAAAACACCCCTAACAACAAGCTCTACAACTTCTAACATGATAGTTTTGAAAATGTTTAATAGTTATGCAACATTTAATAGTTCTTTGTTCTAGATCTCACTCTACATTTAGCACTCACTCCATTCTAGGAATGGAAACGGGGTGGGGCATCCCCACCTTATCCCCGCCCCATAGCCAAAATACCCTACCCCGTCCCTAGTGGTGGGGCATCCTCTCCCCTTCGGGGACGGGGAATCTCCGAATTTTCCCCCTGACCAATCACCTAAAAATACATATAATTTAAAGATATTTTAAAAATAGGATTATGGGAATTTAGGATATTTTAAGAATTGGATTATGGAAATTCGGGGGTATTATAAAAATGGATTTATGGGATCCTAAGGTTTTAAGAATTTGGGAGAAACTTAGAGGTATTTTAGAAATTAACATTAAACCTTTTACTAGTTTACCATCAGGTTCGGGGCAAGCCTAGGAAATTATATGCAAACCCCGCCCCATCCCTATTTAAGATCAGGGAAAATCCACTCCATTCGGGGTAGAGCTCCAATTTTATGGGGAAATTTGCCATCCCTACTCCATTCTTCTACAATGTTTAATAGTTCTACAACTTCAAACATAAAACAGAGTGAGAAATGAACTATTATCTTCCATGGATTCTTTAGCATAACTACATTTCTCTATTTTTTAATCTTTTAGTGAAAAGAGCTTATTTCTCCTGAAAACAAAGATAAAAAATAGAGAAGCAAATGAAACTCTAGCATAAGCACTAAGGCTCAGTTAGGAAAGAGTACAAATGCAAATATGTACAGCGTAAATATATGCAAAATAGTACAAAATATAAGGTTTTACACTCTACATATTTGCATTTATATTCCTTCCAAACTCAACCTAAAGAACATTGAAAGATAAAAACTCTCATGAAAAACAAACCTATTTGAACTTGAAAAATCTCTATGTTATTCTAAAAACACCACCTTCTTCGATCTTGTGTGCATTAGGTTCAACCTACAAGGAAATTGAAATCATGGTTACAACTATGGAAACTAAAACTATTCCTAATAGAGATGTGATAATAGGATATTGATAACCATTCTTAGTAGAGACTTGATAATAGATAGGAGGAGTTTGAGTTTGGGAGAGGGAAGAAAAAGAAACCTTTCTTGGTGAGGCTATGTTTGGTTTGAAGGAAAAGGTAGGGAAACTTATACAAAATTAAATTACGTGGGTTTTGGCAAATTTCCTTGTATTTCACAATTTAGATTCTTTAAGATTGGTTGAAAGCCCCTGACGACGTGGCTTAATGGGAGGGGTAAGGGAGAAAGGAGATAGAATTAAAGAAGAAGCAAGGGAAAATGGAGAAAGGAGAGAAAGGGTGAGGTAGACAACCATATTTTATATAGGGCAAATTGTTGAAACCCCTTATATTTTGGAACGTTGCTAAAACTTCCCTTGAAGTTTGGTAATTTCAATCACCCCCAAACTTTCTGACACAATTGCTATTAGACTCTCTTCATTAGAATCCTCTAACAAGAGGTATAAAAATGTCCAAAATACCCATACAGTTCTATTGAGGCTGGTTTTTATAGAAAAAATAATAAGAGAATTTAAAGTTGCAACTTTACCTTTGTACGATTGATATGAAGGGCAAATTTGAAAAATAAACCAATTTAAAAAAAAAAGATTAAAAGGATTTGGGATAACAATTCATATGAAGTAAAAATTTGAAAAATAAACATTTTGGTTAAAAGTAATTGCATAGATATTTTGAACATTTCATGCCTCTTTTTAGTAGCTAATAAAAGGGTCTACTTGCAAAAGTTAAGGAAAGATAATTGTAATTACAAAACTTCAACTCCAAGGGAGGTTTTAGCAATTTATCCCTATACATATGAATGAAATCATTAATCGATTAATTTTCATATTAATTTTTCATGTTCATCACTACATGACATCATTAACTAATCCACTATATGACGCGGACTGCAACTCCCAGGAACAAACAGGGGAACTCTCTTTCAGTCATCCTCATCGTAGCTGCAGGCGAACCTTCAAGGTGCTTAACGAAATTAATCACTTTGGGATATCTGAGTATTTGGTTTTGGTGATTCTTTTTAGCCTTATTCAGAGTTTGTCTGATCAATCACGGATATTGCTAGACTGTGCTGAAGATCATTTGCTTTTCGTTTTATTCTTCTGTGGGTTTACACGGTTTTCATTTTTTTTGTTCAATCCGTTATCTTTCACGTTTATTGTTGGGAAATTTTGGGTTTTTGTTGTTTGGGTTGATATTTGATATAATGGGTTTCTGTGATTTGTAGGAAATCGGATCGGGCATCAGGTCAGTCAGAACGGTTGAATTTGGGGTTTTGATGATATTCTGAACCCTAGAGCTTGAGATTCTTTTTAAAGGAGGATTTTTTTTTGGTTGGAATTAACGTTTAGGTTTGGTTTGGCGGGGGAGACTTTGCACGTAAGGTTTTGAAGATGAGTGACAATTTGATGGATAAAGTCACTGCATTCGGGCAACGCCTGAAGACTGAAGGAGCTGAGGTGGGTAGGAAGATGTCCGCTGGAATGAGCTCAATGAGCTTTAAGATGAAGGAGCTCTTCCAGGGGCCGAATCAGGCTGAGAAGGTTGTGGAGGAGGCAACTGCCGAGACGTTAGAGGAGCCAGATTGGGCCACGTACCTTGACATTTGTGACCTGATTAATAATGAGAAGATAAACAGTGCTGATTTGATCCGTGGGATTAAGAAGCGGATTATGCTGAAGAACCCCAGGGTGCAGTACCTAGCTCTTGTCTTATTGGAGACAATTGTGAAAAACTGTGAGAAGGCATTCTCCGAGGTTGCTGCAGAGAGGGTCCTTGATGAGATGGTGAAGCTGATTGACGATCCTCAGACTGTTGTAAACAATCGGAACAAGGCTCTCATTATGATTGAAACATGGGGAGAGTCGGCCAATGAACTCCGGTATCTGCCTGTTTATGAGGAAACCTACAAGGTAAATGTGCAGTCTTAAGTCTTAACTGGATATATTTGCATTTGGTTTTATTGTTTTCATGTTTCATTGAGGACAAAGAAATTTTGGTGCTTTATATAACACCATTTGATATCCCCGTTCAATAAAATGGGTCCATTTAGTGGGTATAATTCTACCTCTTTCTTGGGCCATAAACGAAAACTCAAATCATCATCTTCTAAGTTTTGTCCCCTCTATATGGGGTTGGCTACATGAACCCTGTTCTGCAATTTCATTATGTTCAATACCATATCCATTGTTAAATTATAGGCCCTTAAATTATTTCTCTCTATTTCACGCCATGTCCTTTTTGATCTACCCTTAATTCTTCTAGCCCATTCATTTTGTAATAGATCACTTATTTTTACTGTTGTTGTAGATGGTTCTTCTCAGCACATGCCCAAACCATCATAGTCTACTACTCTACTTCACCTCATTTTATCCTCTTTTGGAGCCACTCCTAAGTTTCTTCGAATAAGTTTATTTCTAATCCTAACCTTTATAGTTTTCCCACTCATCCATTTTAACATTTGCATTTCTATCATACTCATTTTTTTGGACATGTTTCTTGATTGCTCAACATTTTGTAGTTTACTCCATCTCAACATTGGCTTTATAATTAATCGCTTTATAATTGGTTTACTTTAGAACCAAAACAGAAATATAGGTGACCCATAGGAATACTTAAATAAGGACTCTAGCTTGTAAACAATTCCAATTACACCTTTTATTTATTTATTTATTTTTATCTGTAACTCAGAGGATTTCATTAGAACTTAAAATGAGGAGCATACAACAAGAAATTGTTAGAAATAACACCCATTACAATGAAGAGACCGCCACCCAATTAACATTGAGCCCAAAACAAATGATGTCTATTCACTCCATGTTTAGCTAATCCATCCACCAAACCATTAGTAGACCTCCTAATCCATCTTAACTGAATTTGCATTTGTCTTGACAGCATCTTGAACTGCCTGAATTCATTTCTGAAGTGCCATAATGCCCCTTGTCCTTTTTTCAGCCAGCCAATGACTATTTCAGCCTTTTGATTCCTATTTTTTTTTTTTTAATATTTTTACACCTCAACAATAGCCGCCATGAATGTTCCCATTCCCATCTCTAATCTCTTCTCCAATTCTAGAGGGACCCAGATTGCCAAAACTACTTCCATCAAAGTTAAGTTTCACCCATCCCCCACTTGGGGGAGACCAAATCTCTTGGACCTTTTGATTCCTAGAGGAAGAAAGGGAAATCGACCCCCAACTTCAAAAAAAAAGTCAACCATTGAGAAATCTGAGAATAGTTTCAAATTCTTTACCCAATGAGCAACTCTAACTGTAACAGTCTCCAAAATTGTTTCTTGTTTCTTTCTTTATCCTCAAAGATTCTTAAGTTCCTTTCCTTCCAAATAGTCCACAGAATCGTTGCTCTAGTACTCTTCCACAAAATTCGGCCTCTTCTTTTTGTGCATCTCAGGAGGATGGGCTAAAGAGTCTTTCCAAACTAACAGGAGGGATCCCCCTACAACCGAAGAGAGAGCAAAACCATTCCCAAATACAACAAGAAAAAGAAGAGGAGATTAAGAGATGGAAAGCAGTCTCACCATCCAACTTACACAAAAATGCATCAATTGGGAGACGAGCACGAATTTGGTCTTTTTTCTTTTTTTTGCAACAAATCACTTGTTTTGATGCTCCCATGGTAAACTTGCCAACAAAACACACTGATATTTGAGGGTATAGGGGCACACCAAACTTCTTTAACAGGGAAGGGGACTAGGAAGGGGAAGTGGCCACGAGGGAAGAGAAGAAAGATTTACAGGTAAGCGACCCATCCTAGTGGGACTGAGATCCCACAGGTATCTATCTTCCCAAGGTTCATAAAAAACTAGGTTATCTAAGATATCCAAATTCCAACCCTCCCCAGATGAGAAGAAGACCCAAAGAAATCATATACAGGTTTTTCTTTAAGGCTTGAGAGAGCAATCCTACTAAACTAATAGTTGATTTCTTGAAGACTTGAAACCCTATTCTTAAGACATCTACAACTAGAAAATGATTTTTTTGATCAATAACTAGAAAATAAATTTTAAAACTCAAAAGTACCAATATCCCTATCACTTAAAAATTTTGAAACTAGTGTAGGAATTGGAATACTGATTCATTTCTCCATGGATTCTTTCATTGCTTTTGTATCTGCAATAGCTTATAGTGTAGAATTTACAACCTGTGTTGTATTAATTACCCATATGGTGGATTTTTTATGAGCAAATTACTTATAGGGTGGATGTAGATTGAAAATGGGGTAAAATCATTTTCCTACAACAAAATCTATGTTTTGATTTTGGCCCACAATTGGAATTATTTAATCCCATTTTTAAATCATTTCATATTAAGATATTTAAAATATAGTTGGGAAAAAGCAACGTGAGTGGAATTGTTCAGTTATTCAGACTGGATACTGTTCAAACATTTGATGGTAACTGGATATCTGAATGGTTCTTTGATCCAGTTAATGATTTTTAAGGAAAAAGGCATTTGGTAATTGGCTCGCATATGGAGACCAGAGCTCCTGGAAGTTGATGGCTCTAACAGTTCAACCACTAAATCTGCCACAGCTTTCAAAGCATTGACCATAAGGATACTTGCAATAAAGAAAGGAGACAAGACAAGAAGGCAAGTCTAAACAGGGTGAAAAAAAGAAGGGAAAAGACTAGTCTGCCTTTTAGTGATGTTTGGGCTTGGGACTATGTTTTAGGCTGAGCCTAACATTTAGGTTGTTATTGACTTAGACTGAGAAAAAGTAGTTGAGAATATGCTAAATCTGAGTCTCTGATCTGAGCTTGAGATGAGCTATATGTTGGAATAGTTTAGTTTATTATTCTGTTTAGCTTATTTTCTGTTTACTATGTTAAAATAGTTCAGTTTTATATTCAGTACTATATTGTTTATACACTGTAAGTACCGCAGGGGCATAAGGGTCTTTTCCCCTCTTTTAAGTGATGCCCTATATATAATAAAATATTCTGTCTCCGCCAGAACTGGATTAAAGTCTTAACATTTTGCTTTTTGATTAGCACTCAATCATATAATGTGCGTTCTTTGTCAAACATGGAAACCGAACCCCTATTAGGACATGGGAGGTTCTAAAATCAAATTTAGCTTATAACAAACTGAGGATTAAAGGAAATCCTAGTTTAGTGGCTGTTTTAATTTTGCTTATAACAGCTTATTACTAATTTGACCATGTAAGATTGTTAAAGATACCTGCTAGTTGTAATCAAAGCAGTTCTTAGAGACATCTTTTAAATGGACAAATTGATGACAGTTGAAATAAGACACTTCAAAGCCTTGTGGCACCATTATTAGTTCTTAGGCCCTGTTTGTTTATTGCTATCTTACTTACCTAGGAATTTACCCAGGTAAATGTTTCCTAGACAAAATTTACCTAGGAAGTTTATTTACCCATGTTCTTTTTGTTGAAATTTACCCAGGTAAATGAGACACCCCAACTTACCCATGTTCTTTTTGCCTCACCCACTTTCCTGGGTAAGATGACCATTGCTTCCTCTATTGCCAATGTTACCCTTCGGTCCAAATGAACATTTTTGGACCTTTTGTTAGAAACCTATTTAATGGACTATAATGGGTCCATTCTAAATAAAACCTTATCCAATAAATCAATAATCCTCAAGGATTATTTGGGCCGAAAGGAATTACAGAAATTTCCAAAACAAACGTAGTGAAGTGGATCAACTTATTTCCTATACATTTGGAAAGCTAATATCCTGGAATGCTGCTGTGAAAGGACTTCAACCAAGGACTTTAGTGTAGCCCAGCTGCTGGCTGGGGAGATCTAAATTTCTTTTACTCTTGGTTTTGGGCTTTAGTGGAAAGGACCTTTGTAATTTGTATGCTGTTTTCTTCATCAATAAAAGTTACCTTACCTTTTTTCAAAAAAAAAAAAAAAATCCTCAAGGATTATTGTCATTATGCTTGCAACTATGTCATAAAAATTTTTGTTTTTTGAAGTTTCAGCCACATAATAGACTGGCCGAGTGTTCATTAATAAAAAAATTATTGCAACTTGGTAATCTTTCAAGGGTATTTTTGTCTGATTAAAGTTGGTCTATTGCTCTCCACGATGGGAAAGTAACTTACCCACCTCTGAGGTGGGTAAGATTTTCCCAGGTAAATGGCCAAATTATTTACCCGGGGGAATATATCTTTTCCATGAGCCCCACATACATTTGCAAAAGAACACGGGAAAGTTGGTCAACTTTCCCATTGGCCAACCCCACCCTAAGATAGTGCGGTAAACAAACTGGGCCTTAATGGTGTCTTTTGATTGGGAAATTTCGGACTTTTTTTTCTTGGTACCAATATTTTGTCCTTGCAGTTTTTGTTTTGTCATATATTTTTCTTCTTTTTGTTATTAAGATAATTAATTTAGTTGTGTGCTTTTCTTCTTCTCATTCATTCAGAGTTTGAAATCTAGAGGTATTCGATTCCCTGGACGTGATAATGAGAGTTTGGCTCCAATATTTACCCCACCACGTTCAGTTTCGGAATCAGAAGCCAACATGCTAGCCCAACAGATTCACCAAGACATCCCTGTGCAGACCTTTTCTGCAGAACAGACAAAGGAAGCATTTGATGTGGCACGAAACAGTATTGAGCTTCTTTCAACAGTTTTATCCTCTTCTCCACAACAAGATGTTTTAAAGGTAGTTTTGTTTTTTTTTTTTTACAAGTTAAATGTCATTTCTTTATATTGAAGGTTATCTTGTCTTGATAGAAAAAAAAAAAAAAAAGATTTTTGTAAGATATAGTTCCATGGTTCATTTCTGGCTTCTGAGGCTTATAAATGGATGGGAGGTTACAAACCATCCACTTGATGGAGCCAACATAACTATCCATTTAGATTCATGCTTTATCCGCTACATCTTTGATTAGTAGATGGAGGCATGGAGCAGGATATCCTTTTGCCTTTTACTATTGATTATAATATACCTATGCAACATTGATGTGTATATGAATGGTGGTACCTGACTTGGGGGAAAAAAGAATTTGGGGATGTAGGCATAATACTATGCTTTGTTTTTTAATTGACGTAAATAGTGCAAAATTTGATTGATACGCTTTGCATTTAATCCTTCTTCTATTATCTCTTGATCACATTGAGTTCTACTTATCTCTTGGTTACATTGAGGCTAGTTATCTCTTAAGTCACATTGAGTTCCTTCTTTCATTATTTCATCAATTAATACTATGCCAGCAGCAAAAAACAAGCACCATGGGAGTTCTATCTTATGCTTTCTCTACAGACCATTGAGTACCACATTAAGATCTTTCTTCTTCTTTCTATACTTTTCCATTAATCATCTCAATAAAACGATAGTTTTCTATGGTTCATCTCCCCATCATGAAACAAATTTTTCTTTTTTCTTATATTCTTGTTTCATGTTATAATTGTTATTTAATTACTATTTCCAAGAATTTCATGGTGTGGTTCATGAGTTTAATCCCACAGTAATTATTACAACTTTGCATATTGCCTTGTTTTTAAAATATAGGCATTAAAATGCTCTTTCTTCATTTATCTGGCCTCCATACCTTTCCAATCTTTTTTTTTTTTTTTGCTCAAGGGCCAGTCTTCTATTGGATTACTAAAAGTCCCAACGCCTTTCCCATATGTCCATTTAATTTTTTTTCTTCTAAAGATCTTTTCTCTTGGATTTTTTTTAATTGATCCATTTATGGCAGTGAATGGAAAAACAGGATTAGTATTTTATAAAGATCCAATTCAAACAAACACCAAATGTTTATGTTCAACAATTCCAACTGAAAAATTAAAAAGAATAATGTTCAAAATTAGTATTTTATAAACATTAATGGAATAAATAACCTATCAAATCCACATTTATATAAAAAATGATAATCTCAAGAAATTTATACAAATAAAAACATTAATGATATAATAATTTTTTTAGTACTTAATATTTAGAAATCTGCACTTGACATGTATCTTGAAATATTTATATATTTTTATAAATTATTAATTAATATTTTAATTTACACCAAATAACAATATATTTATTATTTACAAAAATAAAAGTTTTGTTTACAATACATCCAAGAATATAATATTAAATTGACTATCAAATCCATTATTCTACATTTATATCAAAAATGATTTTTTATTTCAGAAAATGTATAGAAATAAAAATGTTAATAATGGAATAACTATTTTAGTAATTAAAAATTATGAATTTTCATATAATATACATATTAAAATTTTAATATATTTGATATATTTTGAGTTAAAGTTATATATTTTATAAGTTATTAATTGGTATTTTAATTTACATTTTATAATAATATATTTATTGTTAAAAAATTACAAAATATTGTTTACCAAACATTTGAAAATTTAATATTTAGTTGACATTTTGTTAATGTTAAAAAGTAAACTAGTAAATTAGAAAATAATTGATATAGTAATTAAAATATAATAGTTGCATGTGTTTTGTGTCTTAGACTCTTGATTGATGGATTGTCAACAAAATTGTATGATATACTAATTAAAATATAATATACATTTTCTATGTATTTATATCATATTTGTGGCTATTTTGACCTTAAAATTAGTGTTATTAATGTATTAATGGATTTTGTATGTGTTTCCCTAGCATATCCAAGCATTTTCATATCCTTCATCTGTATCCATGTGTTTCTAAAATGGATCCGTATCTGATCTGTCTAATATGATACCTGATGCAGATGCTTTAATCCTTGAATACATATATGTTTTCTCAAAATTGTCTTTTAATTTTTCCTTCTAAATTCACCTTATAAGCAATAATGATGTTAGATTTCTTCACCTAAAAAAGTACAATTAAAATAATTCCATCTCCTACTCTTTTAACATTTATAGTTCCATTTTTTAGATCCTTATTTACTATTATTGCCACTCCATTTCTATTATCTGCTTCCGCCGTGTGCAATGGTCTATGGTAATCAATTTCTTTAGCTTCCCCCTTGGTTTCTTGTAAGCATGCTGTATTGCAGCACATTTACATATTATCTTCTTGCTTTTCAGATTCTGTGTTTGGCACTTCATCATCAATGTTGAATAGGATAATTGTATCTACATATAATTGTCTCTACATTAAAGCTTTTCCTTGTGCCCAATTATCATGTTCTTTAAATTTAATGGCCAGAATCACCTTTTTCTTGGTGATACTACATTTCTTGGGAACCTTTAAGACAATGCACCATATATTTTCTAATGACAATGTAGTGTTCAGTATAAAGGCCATTGCTCAATGTTGGCCCCAGCTATCTAGGGCCTTGGTAGGGATAGACTGGATATGATCATAATCTTTGGATTTTTTTTACTTGAACCCACATTCTCAGGCTTGCTAGCCCGAGATTTTACTATTACACCAAGTAAAGGCCCCTCAATGCAGTATGCAAGATGCATGTAAATAATTTGGTGAATGTATGCTAAATGTGTTTTCCTGTATAAACTCTTTAATATAATGTGCTTTTTCTACGCCAGTTGCAGTTGCAGTTGATAATAATCTTTAGTTCTATGGGCAGGATGACTTGACAACAACACTCGTACAACAGTGCCGGCAGTCCCAATTCACTATCCAGAGAATTATTGAGACTGCAGGTGACAATGAAGCATTGCTTTTTGAGGCCTTGAATGTTAATGATGAAATTCAGAAGGTTCTTTCCAAATGCGAAGAACTTAAGAAGCCTTCTGTAGCTTCTGTAGCTCCACCAGAGACACAGGCTGCAATGAGTTCTTTTGCCATCGAACCTGATGAATCCCCCAGTGTTGGAAAGGAAGAAGCACTGATCAGGAAATCCTCGGGTTCTCGAGGTGGGGCTCGGGCAGGAGAGGATGACATTATGGATGATCTTGATGAGATGATTTTTGGGAAGAAAGCAGGTGGCACATCAGAAGGGAGCCAGGATCCAAAGAAGCAGCAGTCACCAAAAGATGATCTCATAACCTTTTGATTTTTCAATGCATGCATGGGTTTCATGTTGTAGGCCAGAGGATCCCATTGATGGTAGTCATGTTAGGTTTTCCAGGTTACGGAGACCATCGATTTGGTGTTTGAATGGAAGAGTGTGCACTCTTCTTGATTTATATATCTGTTGCTTTCTTGATTGCTGCATGTAAGTAATTCATGTTGAACAGATTATCACTTGACAACACATACATACACACAAAGATTTTTCACATGAAAACGTGGCTACCCTGAATTGTGCAAAGTCGACTGTCGTGTATAGATGGTCTTCTAAACTTCAACGCATCTGCTTCTGTTGCTGCTGCGGTTGTCTGGCTTCATGAGTGGACTTAAAAGGATCGAATTCCTCAACCTAATTCTAACCCAAACTCAGATCAGCAGAACTGTACAAGTCTTAACTTAAATCCTTTGAGTTCTAGGTTTCCTGCCCAACCTGGCATAAAGATTGGGTTGGCTCTGTGTACATGGTTGAGTCCATGCTTTTAACTTTAATCGTTTTCTTCATGGCAGATGAGAACACTCCCGATCAAGGCATCAATAACATCAATAAGTTATCCGATTTCTAAACTATGTTCTATACGTGTTATGATAATTGGCAAGAGTCCTCTCGCCTCAATGCTGTACATCTCTCTCTCTCTCTCTCCATTAAATCCTTCACCCTTGAATCTTTATATTTTCTTTTACTCTCCAATATAGCAGAGGTATAAATATGAAAAAAAAAAAAAAAAATTTGGATGGGTTGCTAAGTGAACGACCAACCCACGCCCATCCCTAGATATCTCTGCGCCCAGCTACAGACCAAGGAAAAAGCCCAAGTCTCCCAACTCAAACCCCATCCGAGCTAAACCCAATATAACTTAGGATGGGCTCAGGTGAGTTTAGTTGGAATTTAGCCATAAGATCTTCTTTCTTTCCTTTGTTTCTTAACTTATTGTTTTGATGCACAACAATTATAATTTCTAAACCCATGTAAAATAATACAAATCCTTACTAAAAATTGGAGGAAGGAAAATAGATAGAGTAATGAATCCAGGCATTTGTCGGGCAGAGAACAGAGGTAGGTAAGGAAATGTCCATGGGCAGAATCATAACTTCAATTCCTAAGGTTGTGGATAGTGGATTCACTCAAGCTAGTCAAGGGGGGCAGGACAGGAATCAGAATTGTCAACAAGGTAATAAACAGAGTAACTGAAATCTCAACTAGCAATAGACATCCAATTAGAACCAGGCAGCAATAGGTTCATTTCACTACTCCGACCCATCTCCTTCTCTTCCACCCTGTTTCTTCTAAACCTTTCATTTCTCACAGAGCTCTCCATCACATACGACAAATGGCTCAGATACACCAAAACTAGAGGTTGTTTTGCTCAGCACGAATGCACTTTCGACTGGGAAATTAACCAATGGTAATTCAGTCTGTCTGAATTCTTCCAAATTGCAAAGAGAGTCAGAGAGACGTGTCGAAATCACATATTAGTTTACTGATTTATTGATTGCTTGCATCTTGACAATACTGTCCTTGCAATGAAAAGCTTTTTAGCTGACAGCTCGATATCTCTGCTTTCCTTTTTTCCTTCCTGGGCATTAGATTTCCATTTCTGGAGGACGGAAACTACTGTACGAAGTTGACACGAGAACGAAGGGGTCCTCGCCGATGTGTCTTGTCTACTCGAGAAGAAAGAGGGATGGATAATGGATTGATAGCAGCAGGTGTCATTGTTCTTCTGTACCTTGTTCCTTGGTTTTGGTGATCCTCACGAGGTGGGGACAAACGTACAGAGACGACAGGACGGCAAACGCTTCTCTGTCTCAATTCTGGGATGGGTTGGCGATTTATCCATTTCTGTGTAATTTCTTATCCATTTATTTCTCTGCAACTTCTTCTGTGCAATTGCGTATTAGACGTTCAGTTCTTTCCCCCATTTTGACGGTAAACCAGTAACCTTTCTTCAATTCACGATGCTTCTTGGCAATATTTCCCAATCCTAAGAGGATGATTCTCAGCTTTCATTTTCTGGCTTGTGATTTCGAGGTGTTGGGAGTTGGGACTTTGGTTTAAAGGAAGGGAACCAAACTCTCAATTTGTCATTTTCTTCACTAAATTTTCCAGTCACCGAACTTCCAAAGGAACGCTTCAACTGCATCATTGCAACAATGAAGTATGATATATTATTGGGTGTGCTGTTTGCACACAATGAATCAATAATTGATTGTGTAATTTCTTAATAAGAGTTATGGCCAAACAGGATAGTTGCGACAGTCTTTGACGATGATAGAACATAAATATCACAGCTCAAAGCATAGTTTTATTCAAATGCGTAAAAAAAAATTGAATAAGGGTTTGATATAATATTGTCAGGCTTGGATCAGACCAGATGATTGAACTGGTGATGCTGGCCTTTTGGGGTCCTGATTAATTGAAGGTTCTCACAGTTAAAAGGAGCTAACCAGCTGATTAACCAATAAAACCATGACCAAGTCTGGTTTCCAACTTAATAATATGTCATCTTTCAAAAAAGAGAGATTATGATAATCAATAGTTGTGATGCCCAAAAAACTTAACAATCAATAAAATAAATCAGTTTCATAAAAGTGGTAACCAAACAGGTGACAATCAGCTTTCATAAAAATTTCATGAGAAGTTTTCATTGGACAAAGTTCTTGTTCAATCAATATTTCAATAAATCATGTTAAAAATATCACATGCTCTACTTATTTTTCATTGCCTCATTGGCTTGTATTCTATACAATTACAAATTTAACAATGCTAGGGGGTGAGCTGGCTGGGTTTAAGGTCAACCGGGCCTAAGGTCAAATTCAAAATTGTCCATACCCGGCCCAGCCTGCACTGAAATTTGATACATTCAAATTGAGTTGGGCCTAGGCCAGGCTCAGGTTGCAATTACCCGCACTGAAATTTGTATAAATGCATGTGTATACGCACGAATTTATGCATACATATATATTCTACCAAGAAAAGTATGCATATATGTATAATTTACCAAAAAAAAAGTAAGGCAAATTACAGATAGGTACCCTATACCTTGGGGGTAGTGACAAATAGGTACTTTGAATTTTTAATTGTAACACTTAAGTACCTTGAACTCTCAAAAATAGACACTTGGGTCTATCCATTAGTATTCTGTCAGTTGAACATTACATAATGCCAAAAATACCCTTCTCATGTATTTATGAGATCATTCTCAGGTAACCAAATCTGTCCCCATTATGATGTTCTCCCATGGAGAACAAAAAACAGATTCAAAATTTTTGACAGTGGCAATCTCTGGTAATGATTTTACTCTACAGAATGATCTCAAACATACATGAGAAGGGCATTTTTTGACATTATATAATATTTAACTGATGGACCCAAGTGTCTATTTTGAGAGTTCAGGATACTCAAACATTGCAATTGAAAGTTAAGGGTACCTATCTGTAATTTAATACATATATGCATATACTACATGCAAACATGTATCAATATATGAGTGTATGCATGAATATAATCAGAACAGGCACAGGTTCGGATAATGTTGAGTTGGGCTCAGGCCAGGTTGGGACTATCTAAATGTGAGGCCTGAGCCCAACCCGAAAATTAAACAAAAAACAAAAAGCAAAGTTTTAGACCTAGACCTGACCTGAGGACCAAAAATCCAAGCTGTTGGGTCCACTCAAATTGCACCCCTATTTGGATTGGGATCTTCTCTTCACACAGAGCGCCTCACTCCGACCTCACATGCACATCTCACCATGCATTAGAAATATCTCTCATAAATAATAACGTATAAGTATGGGAGGTATTCCCAATGCATGATAGGATCTGCATGTGAAGTCAGTGTGAGGCGCCCTGTGGGAGAAGCAGATCCGATCTCCCCCTATCCATTACTGATTTATAGTCTCCCCCTATCCATCACTGGTTTATATATATATATATATATATATATATATATATATATATATATATATAATAATTGCAATAACATCAACATGCTATTACAAAAATTGAAGCCTTGGGGTTGAATTATTTTAGTAATTGGAAGGAATAAAAAGACAATGTTTAAATACTGTGTGAGAAACAAGATCACCATATGAAGAGACTTAACCTCAAAGTTTGTTCATACATGGTTGTGTGGTGCAACAGATTGCAGGTAAGATGTTAAACATCAAGCTGCAGTCTATGTGGTCGGTTATTTATTGTAATGGATGCATTACTAACCAATATGGACAAAGCTGTGGACCTGCACAGACCTTGCCAACTGAATCATTAACCCAATGACTCAATTTCTCTATAATGCTTTGGGATATACTCTATCCAACAACCTGGAGGCTTATGACTTGATATGGATCAATACATGTTGTGCTTGAGAAGTTGTCAAGAAGGACAAACATGGTGTTTGGCTTTGTATATTGATGGGATAAACCGGTCTATTATTTTTTATCACAAACAAACTGCATGTGTGTATAAATCATAATTGCATTTCAATGATATATGGCTATGATTTCAAATCCCCCAACACATGGGCCCTACATTGGATGTTTATATCCACACAGTAGGACACATAATTTGTCAATGAGTTTCAACCTCCTGATTATAAGAATTTGACTCATAAACCACCATTCATATTAATCACTACTTTATTGGGTTGTCCATCCTGGTATCTGCTGTAAAACAATGATATCAATTCTTTGAGTCTTCTGTATTTTGTACAAGATTGATTAATGTGGACAAAGTTGTGGACCAAGTAAGGGGGAGTTTTTTCTTTGAAGAATTTAGAACTTTTAGAAAGAGAAATTCTCCATTCTAGCTTCACCATGACCAGAGTGTCTTGAGCAAATTTCAGACTGCATACTTTCAGGTATTCACTTCTAATAAGTATTGTGATTCTAAGAAGTATGGATTCATGAAAGATGTTTGGAATTAAATCTTTGTTCCAAATTCAAGACTCATTCTTAGGTTCAAAATATTGATACAGGCCAATATGCCAATTGGGGCATATCGGCCTATATCAAGCTTCGCTTATATATATATATTTTAAACTGATTCAGAAGGATTAGTTTAAGACCTATCTATCCCTGAACCAGGTTTGATCCCAATACACTCACTGTAAAGGTGTATAAAAAGGTCATCTATCAGTTGATACGGTCCGATACGTATTGATATTTTGAATCTGATTTTGAAGATTTAAAAGTAAAAAAAAAAAAAAACCTT